ATTATCCCAGTCACTGAATCAATCCACCTCATAGAGGGCCTTCCCCTCCTGCGCTGTCCCTCCACCCTCCCAAGCAAGATGTCCTTCTAAGGAGAAATCGAGTGCAACCTTAGACACACTATAGAGCATTCTTCACTGCCCTGAAGAGTCACTAGGAGGAAGAATTGACTCCATAGCAATGAGGTTTTCTTAGAAGTTTGGTCTTGGGTTGCAGCTGGTTCTGTGCTCCCTGGGACTGTTCTCATTATGCCCAGTGTCCCCGGACAAGTTAGTCTTCCTCCATAGTCTCCTAGCCACACATGGAAGGACTAAGCTTTGTGTTAGTCATCCTTGGCTCAGATGCAGGACCTGCAGAAGCTTCTCTCATGTCTGCAGTTCCACCTAAGTACAGGAACCTTGAACAGAGGAATCACACCTCTACTGCCTTTGACTCCAGGAGTACGATGAGCAAAGCAGAAGCCAGACAAACAGAGGAGGTGTCAACCCCACCTCACACGCTAGTAGTACCCATGTTGCTAGAAAGAAGTTTTCCATATCTATCCCTTGTCTTCTGTAAAGCCTGCTGTTAGGGACCTCTCCAGAGTACTGAAGAACAATGGTGTCACTTTGGAGACTAAGGTGCACTTGATACAGGCCGTGATCTTCATGGTCAACTACCTGCTATGCATCAGAGAGTTGGATGATGACTAAGGATGATAGAAAGAAAATCAATGCCTCTGAGCTGTGGAGCTGGAGAAGAGTATTGAATATACCATGGACTTCAAAGAAAACAAACAGGTTCATCTTGAAGAGGTTTAAACCGGGCTGCTCATTGGAGACAAGGATTCTGAGGCTTCGTCTGACATACTTTGGACATGTTGCAAGGAAGGACCAGTCCGTGGAGAGGGACGTCATGCTTGGGTGGATGGAGGGACAGTGCAGGAGAGGAAGACCCTCTAAGAGGTGGATTGATTCAGTGACTGGAGTAGTGGAGCTGAGTGTGTTAAAGACAGTGAATCTGGTATAGGACAGAGCAGGGTTTGGTACCATTGTTCATAGGGTCGCTATGAGTCACAGGCAACTCGATGGCACATAACAACTTTATTACTTTTAGAAAACAGAAGGTTTTGTGCCAAATAATAACCAGGGGAGAACTTACTATGGAAAAAAAATATCTTCTACATCAAAAGACAGCCTACTCATTATCCCAGGCCACAATAAATGACTCTGCCCTTGTGGAGGTGACAGACCTTTTGGCATATTGCAAATGGATTTCACCATTGTGTTTGTTAGTCTCAGGGTAACCAGTGGGTGCTACTGAGGTTCTCATGCTTGTTTATTATTTTGTTGTTGTTGTTGCTCATGATCCAGAATATTGCTTCTTTAAAATTTGGTATAAAAGATTTCTCCAAGGATATTACCAATCTGACTGGCTATTTTCAATGTATGAATAAATCCAAATAATGTAATTTGGGCAATTTCATGAGATACTGAAGAAACTCACACTGCGTACATCTCATGTATTAATTTTATAGTAAATTATGTAGGAAAATGCAGCTCAGAACTTTAATGATCATCTATCTAAGCCCAGACTTGTTTATGCATAATCTGCTTTCATTATGCTCAGTCTTACGTGGCGATTCATGCATCAATCGTTGGGCTTCATTTTTCACTGTCTCTCTGCCCTCCCAAGGTCAGAGAGATGCTGTGTGTTCACTCCAGGCGCAGAGGTGCAGCCACCTGAACCCACACACCGCTGGGTCCAACCTGCCTCCTAAATGAATTGTCTGTGCTCAGTGACAGGATCTACAACATCCTTCGCGCCCAGGAAGGATACAACACAATTCCCTGGAGGGAAGAAACCTGTGGTTTCTGATGATTTTTTTCTACATAAATGTGGCAATTCCTAAGAAAGAACACCACAGATGTCACAAAGTTAGAAGCGACTTCAAATGTGCCATGCCCTTGAGGGATGTGGAAGCAGTAGGACCATAGCGAACACTCCACTCTTTGATCTTCAGGATGAACATTTCTCCCTCAAGTTGCTCTAATTTTAACTGTGACCCCCCCAAAAAATAGATATTGTGAAGTAGATATTGTAACTGCTATACCTAGAGTTGAAATTCCATTTGGAAACAGGTTTTCTTTGTTATATTGGTAAAACCATATCACTGGAGTTTATGCTTTACCCCAATGACATTTGAAAAGTAGGGATGCAGGTTAGATACAAAAAAACAAGCCAGAAAACACAATGGAGAAAGATTACGTCATGTGGATTTTACCAACGAGTTGAGAGACAACAGTTGAAAGAAACAAAGACTTTCCTCTGAGTAAAGAGAGGAGAGAGGCTTCAAGTAACAGGAGTCCTTTTACTCTGTAATCTTATACCTTAGCAAATGAAATAATACACCAATGTTCATAGCAATGTTATTCATCATCGCAAGAACATGGAAACAGCCCAAATGGCCCACTACAATGGAATGGATTGAGAAATTATGGTACATTCACATGATGGAATACTACACACCATGCAGGAGCAATGATTTTGTAAATCACTACCTACCTTGGGAGGGACTGGAGAGCATTAAGCTAAATGAACTAACTCAGTTTCATAAGGACAAATACTGTATAACACCACTATTGCAGAATGAGTATGAGGATCCGGGGGGTGGGGGGGTGGGGGGGATAGACAGAGCAGGGAAGATGGGCAGAGGTAGAGGAAGAGGGTTAATCACAGGGTAGCACAATTTGATGGAGGGAGGGAAGGACGGGTGGATAAAGGAAATGGGAAAGATCTGGTGTGAAAAACAGTATATACAAACTTTATAAGTATGTTGTTATGTGCCATCGAGTTGTTTGTGACTCATAGCGACCCTATGTACAACAGCCCTAAACCGTGCTCTATCCTGTGCCAAACTCATTGCCTCTGACAAACCCATCTTGAGTACCCCAGTCACTGAATCAATCCACCTCATAGAGGGTCTTCCCCTCTTGCGCTGTTCCTCCACTCTACCCAGCATGATGTCCCTCTCTAAAGACCTGTCTCTCCTTACAACATGTCCAAAGTATGTCAGACGAAGCCCCAGAATCCTTGCCTCCAAGGAGCAGCCTAGTTTAATCCTCTCTACGATGAATCTGTTTGTTTTCTTGGCAGTCCGTGGTACATTCAATACTCTTCTCCAGCACCACAGCTCAAAGGCGTCAATTCTCCTTCTATCCTCCCTAGTCATTGTCCAACTCTCTGATGCATAACAAGTGATTACAAAAACCATGGCCTGTATCAGGCGGACCTTAGTCTCCAGAGAGACACTGTTGCTCTTGAGTATTTTGGAGAGGTCCCTAACTGCAGACTTTCCCATTGCAATATGTTTTTTTTTTTAATTTCCTGGCTGCTGGTGCCAAGAGTGTTGACTGTGGAGCCGAGCACACTGAAGCTGTGAACAATCTCAATCTCTTCGCCATCCAGTATAAAATAAAAATTTTGTTTAAAAATTTTCATTTTACTTGAATATATAACTAATGCCCATGGAAACAATGACCAAGAAATTAAACAATTTCTTATATTCATCAAATCTGCTGAAAAAAAAATCTTTAAAGCCTTATGGACCAAAGAGGCTATTTTGAAACATTATTTCTGGCATGTTACTAGGAGAGGCTGTTCCTTAGAGAAGAACATGACGCTAGGAATGGTTGAGTGTTTGTGAAGGAGAGGAAGACCCTCAACCAGATGAATAGACATGGTGACTTCTACAGTGGGATTTTGTGTGTCAGGAAGTACGAAGATGACACAAGGTAGAACAGGGTTCAGATCTTTTGTTCATGGGGTCGCTATGACTCAATGACACCTAACAACAATACTAACAGGAGTGCCTGACTAAAGTTATGGCATTTTTAAGTGTCTCATAGGCGTACAAATGATGGACAATAAACAAATAAGTCTGAGAAAGAGCTAATGCCTTAACTATGCTGTTGGAAAAGAATATTGGCTGCCATTTGTTTTGGAAGAAATGCTGTCATCATTCTTCTTACAAGTTATAAGGGTAAGAGTCTGCCTCACATTCTTTGGAAACATTATCGGTAAACAGTAGTTCTTGGACATGACATCATGCTTGGTAAAGTTAAAGGAAAATAGAAACACTGACAAGGAAGTGGATGACACAGTAACCACAACAATGGGCTCAAATACGGAGTTCAAACACTTAAATAGTTTCAGATTGGACATGGACAGTGTTAAATGGATGGTGCCTAATGACAGGAGCTTTGGTGGTATAATGCACAGGGAACTGCACTGCTAATTCAAAGACCACCTTTGGGCGGTGGCTTGAATCCACCATTGGCTCCACTGGAGGAAGATGGAGAATTACTTTTCCTGAAGCTTACAGCCTCAGAAACCCACTCGGGTTCATTTATGAGTCTATTTGAACTCCACGTCAATAAATAAGTGAGTGAATGACAACACAGGGTAAGCTTTTTTTGCGTGTCAAACAGTAGTAATAGTTGACTCAGTTAAAGGTCCTTTACGATGGAAGAACGAGGAGCAATGGCAAGTATGGTGACGCTCTGTGGTGCTCTGAGAAGAAAAAAATTGACGCATTTGGTAATGGCTCCAGTCGGGCTCAGAGATTCCAGGACTCACTCAGTGCTACAGAAAAGAGCTTGCTCCCAGTATAAACAGGTGACCAACCATGAGGACTTGCCCATTCCAATGGAGAATCCTTATAAGGAACCTCTTAAAAAATGTATCTTGTGTGAAAAACGTGTAGATTATAAGAATGTACAGCTTTTGTCCCAGTTTATTTCTCCATTTACTGGATGCATATATGGAAGGCACATAACACGGCTTTGTGGGAAGAAACAAAAAGAAATCACAAAAGCAATTAAGAGGTCTCAGAAACTGGGATTTATGTCAGTTACATACAAGGATCCTGCATATCCCAAAAACCCAAAAGTTTGTAATATCAGATATCGGGAATAAATTATGTAAGACCAATAAAATGATTGTGTCACCACCAAAAAAAAATAGGTCTTTTACAATTTTATCGCTGCCATTCTGTCAGTTTATTGTACTTTGTTGGTCTGTTTGTTGTTTTGAGGCTATAAGCAATGTTACACTTATTCAAAATATCAGCTGAGTTACCCATGATGGACAGCTTTCAGTGGAGCTCCCACACTAAGACAGACTAGAAAGAAGTCTGGAGACCCACTACTTCCAAAATGAGCCAATGAGAGTCTTATAGCCAAAAGAATATTGTTCAGCTAAATTTCTTAGAACCATCATCAAGAGGTATCAATAGTTAGAGGAAGTTGTCATATTGGGTGAATTGGAGGGCCAGATAAGACAGGAGAGCTTCAGTGAAATAGAATGACAACTATACATGAAGAGTTCAAATGATCATAACCAATTCTGTGATGAGACAGAACTGGACAGAATATTGTTCTGTTGGCAATAATGTCACTATGAGTTAGTCAACATGATAATAATTACATATATCTAGCCAGTCTTCTTTTTATCTTAAAATATTACAAGTATATCTTAACAAGTAGACATTATCACTGAAAATGGTTTTCCTAGCCACTGAACTTGACTCTGCCAAGGGGGAGAAATACACATAGAAAGCATGTTAGTCTATCCACAAGGGCATTGGCTAGTCTCTCTAGTAAACTGAGCTAGTCCAATGGCAGAGAGAGTCTTGTACCACCAGCAAAGGAGAAGTAGACATGCACTTCAGGATCAGACAATCTTGTTGTCAGCTAGATGTAACAGCAGCAGTGACAGCTAGACCTACAACAGCAGCAGCCATGGCCGAAACAGAGGACCAGAGATCTGGCATGAGATGGAGCTTGGAGTGCTATCCATCCCCACAGATACAACAGGAGGATATTCACTGGAAGGGAAGGGCTGGAACAAACATAGAAGTCATGAGCTATCACTGAACCCCCTCAGTCGATAGGTTAGACAGAAATGTGAAGAAGGGAATGGAACTCAGCACACACGTGTGTCTGGGCAATGCACCCCAGGGTACAATCCCACTTTTCTTATTTCCTGCATTTCCCTGGTAGCCCCCACTTTGAAATGAGAGGCTGCTCCTGAATTGAAGCCTTTGCACACCCACCGACTGAGGGTGCAGGCTAGAGACAGCAGCCAGGACTGAAGGAGCAGGAGCCAAGGCATCTGAGGCTCACAGAAGGCTGAGAGCCCACCCCCATCACATCCTGCTTCCCATTCACCACCAGCAGCAGCTCCCCTGTCACGTGTGCCAGGCTCTGGCCGCAGGGGTTCCTCTGGCTCACAATGACTAAGGCCACAGCATCTGAAATGAGGTGATACAAAGCCAGCCATGTCTGCTGTGTTGACACTCAGTGCGGTCTGCTTATTGCAGAAGACATTGCCCTGCGAACCATGCAAAACTTGTGTGTCTGCTGGAACAGCGGTCGTCCAGGGCTGAGATTATGTGTCTCTGGACAATAACATTAATTTGACAATTGTCTCAGTGTTGTTTCCCTTTCAGCTTCAGAGAACATAGAGAAAGTGGTCCGTATGTTTGAAAGGAAGTCTTTCAGTAAGTGAATTAAAGAATGAAGAAGTTTTAACTCTAACTGCCCTTTAGTTTCCTCAGCAGTTCTTAAAGCTGAAAGTTATCTGTTGTTTCTGAGGCTGGTTGTTGTTATGGTGGTTCTTGAGTACTACAGAGTCAAAACTAACTCACACCTGATGCTGTGAGCTGGATTTCAGAGGCTGCAAACAGTGTGGGAGGAGAGTGACTGTCTTTCTTTCTCACAAAGTGACTGGTGGATTCCAACTGTGTCTTCAGGTTGGCAGCACAATTCCTTACCACTAGAGCCCTCAAGATTATGCCCTTAGTCATCCTTTAAACCCGAAACCCAAAAATAAAAAGGAAAACAAGATAAGGATTGAAGCTAAACATCAAGAAAACAAAGATTCTCACCACTGGGCTGATTGGCAGCATCGTATAGATGGTGAAGAGACTGAGATCACTAACAGCTTCAGTTGAGAGTGTGGAGGGACAGTGCAAGAAAAGAAGACCCTTGATGAGATGGATTGATTCAGTGACTGGGGTATTAGGGGTAGGTGTGTGTGTCAGAGACAATAAGATTGGCACAGGAGATTGCAGATTTAGGGCTACTGTACATAGGGTTGCTATGAGTCACAGGCAACTAAGAAGCACATAACAACAACAATGAAGATTTTACAACTGAATCACCAATGCCTCATTATTTTATTTCTAAAACATGCAGATATAAACAATAACCACCTTGTTTCCTTAGCTTTCATCCAAATGATAGACCTATAAAGTGGTTAATGACACCAGGGAGGCATTCACTCCATAGACTAACCAGTTATTTAAAGTAAAAAAGGATGGAACCCAGACCACAGAAAAAGATATGATAAAAGGAGTGGAGAAAATGAAACCTAAAGAGATGATCCTTCAAGACACACAGGAGTTTAGGTGTGTAGGGCTAAGTTTACTAATGTTTATAGTCAACTCTCTGTTGTTGTTGAGTAGCTTGTAACTCATAGCGACCCTATGTAAAACAACCCTAAACCCTGCTCTATCCTGTGCCAATCTCACTGTCTCTGACACACCCATCCCGATTACCCCAGTCACTGAATCAATCCACCTCATAGAGGGTCTTCCCCTTCTGCGCTGTCCCTCTACCCTACCAAGCATGATGTCCCTCTCCAAGGACTGGTCCCTCCTTGCAACATGTCCAAAATGTGTCAGACGAAGTTTCAAAAAGTCGTACATAGCAGACTTCTACTAGATACAATTCTAATAAAATTTAATTGAGAAAGTCTCCTTCTGAAGTATTTTCTTACATCTCACTCTACTTGCAGTTGTTGTATACCATCAAGTCAGAACAGACATGTACGTGACTGTCCAGCAGGTTTTCAGAGGCAGTAAATGGCACGGAAGTGGATTGTCCATCTTTCTCCCATGGAGCAACTGGTGGGTTTGAACTGCATATCTTTGCATTCTCAGTACAGTTCCTTACCACTAAGCCACCAGAGGAAGTCAAAGATGTTGCCTTAGAATTAGAACCAACTGTTCCTGACTCTCCAGTGGGTTTCTGAAGCTGTAGCTCCCGTAGGAGGAGATGCTTTACCTTTCTTCTGTGGAGTTTCTGGGGGGTTTGAACCTGCAAAGTGGCATTTCCTTTGGGTTAGCAGCACAAATCCCCCTAGCCTATACCTCCAGGGTTCTCTAGAGCACATATAGTCCATGAGAAAGATATCTATGCAGCATTTAGTTAATATATGAAACTGAGGTGTCGATCAAGTAACTTTGATTATAAATGTTTCCAGGAACAAGTCCTAACTCTCCTCCTTTAGAAAGATTACAGTGATCCTGGACAAGACAGCTTGATAAGATGACTGCAAAAATACTTCAAATGCAACAAGAATTGTGAGGGTGACCCAGGGCCAGACGATGCATCCTTCTCTTGTATGGGAGGTTGGTTAGAGAGTCCTTACCAATCAGAATTCACAGGGAGCTCTGGTGGCTTAGTGGTAAGGAATTATGCTACCACCCCAAAGGCAGGCAGTTCAAATCTGCCAGCTCCACACACAATACACAACAATCTCTTCCTGTGTGATTCACAGCCTCTGAAAAACCACCTTGGGGTTACCTGTGAGTAGGTTCTGACTGTATGGTACCTAACAACAAAAATAGGAATCAGAGGAGACTCAACAGAATCTAATAATTAACACAATCACTGTGTCCTGACATGTACTGAAAAAAATTGTTCAGAATAAAATCATACAGATTGTATGTAAACAATTGTTAGATTAAGCAATCTACTTGCATAAGGATTATATCCTCAGAAACAAAATAGGGCAGTTCTGCTCTTTGCTATGCAGTTGCTATGAGTCCTGCTGGACTCCACTACAGTGGGTTTGTTTCTTTTTGTTTTTATTTTTTGTGTTGTGGGGTTTTTTGTTTTAGAGTTTTGTTTGTTTGCTTGTTTGTGGTTTTTGTTTGTTTGTTTTGTTGCGGGTTTTTTCCTAAGCTCTTCCTGAGTTACCTTTGCTACCAAATGATAACTGGTTCACTGACTAGATAGGAATTGACACAGTCAGTACAGCCATGGGCTCAAGTGTGTCATTGATGATGTTCACACAGAGCAGTTGTATTAAGCTAGATGGTATCCAGGTAGCCTTTGCTTGCAGATGGTAACTGGTTCTTTGTGTCTTAATATTTGTATTATATAAAACAAACTATCTATCTATTATCTATCTATCTATCTATCATCTATTTTTATCATCTTTAGAAAGCGCTCTGGTGATTTTGTAAAGAATTACACTGCAAACTCAGAAGTAAGTAGTTTTACTCCACCAGCTGCTCTTGGGAGAAAGATTAGCAATCTCCTTCCTCGTAATATATTGTCTCTGAAAACCCACTGGAGGGTCAGCTATAGGTTAGCTTTAAATAAATAGTACACAACAACATATGTATTTTGATTAATCTTATGTTGCTGTTAGGTGCTGTCACTTGCAACCCATAGCAACCTCATGAACAACAGATCCGAACCCTGCTCTATCCTGTGCCATCCTCACACTTTCTGACACACTAGAGCCCACTGCAGCAGTCACTGTGTCAGTCCACCTGGTTGAGAGTCTTCCTCTCCTTAACTGACTCTCTGTCTCTCTGAGCATCATGTCCCTCTCCAAGGAATTTTCCCTCCTCGCAACATGCCAAGAGCATGTGAGGCTAAGCTTTATCATCTTTCCCTCTAAGGAGCACTCAAGCTACACTTTCTCCAAGACATATTTGTTTGTTCTTTTGTCAGTCCATGGGATATACAGTACTCTTCTCCAACACCAAAGCTCAGAGGCATCAATTCTTCTCCTCTTATTCTTAAATTTCAAATCCTATGTTACCAAACATTTATTCCACTTTTCAGAGTGACCATTCTGTGATACTGTATTCATGAAAATAACTTTCTACTATACCA